GTAAACTTATGTTAAGAAAGGTAGGGGTAGACCTAAAAAGACTTGGTTAGAAAATATTAGGAATGACCTTTCTTTATTAGATTTAAATAAGAATTTGACTTTTAATAGGACACAATGGAGAAAAAGGATTCATGTAGCCGACCCCACGTAGTGGGATACAGGCTTGATGTTGTTGTTGTTGTTGTAATCAGATTAAAGCTTCAATAAAAACTCAAGAAAACGGAGCCTGTTGATCAACTATATTTAGCGTTATCAAAAAGTGTACCTGATCAGCTTCGGCTTGATGTTGTTGTTGTTGTTGTAATCAGATTAAAGCTTCAATAAAAACTCAAGAAAACGGAGCCTGTTGATCAACTATATTTAGCGTTATCAAAAAGTGTACCTGATCAGCTTCAAGTGCTTCTCTATATGCAGCATCCTGCTCCTCTCTTAGGCGAAGATTGTTCCTCCGCTCCTCTGCCTCAAGTCTTGCCGCAACAAGAGGTGCATTACTCTCTTCCAAAACACGCTGAAGGATGGATAACATTTCTTCAGGAGTTTTGAGCCCCTCAACCTGAAATTACAGAGGATATGAAAAAGGATAATGAATAGTACATATCAATAATATAGATAGAACGCAGGCAAAGTTAAAAGTGAAAAGTACAAAAGCCCTCCTTTGATGAAATATTTGATTACTCAAACTAACTAATAAATGTTAAGAAAGCATACAAAGCAGTGCTTCAGAATAGTTATCAATGGCTATCACACAACAGAAGCAAGCATCTATTTACATACTAGCAAGACAATAGAAGCGAAGTCCTCTTTGTCTTTATCGTCTGTTTAAAGGACATTTTAAATAGAAAGGCTTTTAAAGGTAAATATAAGAAATTTAGTGCACTGTCATCAGCAGATGTGAGGAACATCAGACCCATGAATTGATAAGAATAGAGAGCTGTTAAAGATCTATTAACTCTCTCAACATGACTTGGCAAGCATCACTATAATAGTTGAGTTGCGATTCATATGAAGGGTAAAATGCTTGTTAAGTTCAGTGAAGCTTCTCATAGTCATCGTCATCACCATTTAGCCTTGTCCCAACTAATTAGAAATTAGAATTAGCATTATGATTCATTATTTTTCTTTCATTCCTATTGAGTGTCTTTAAATGTATTAAAGATATTATCTGCAAATCATTTTGAACATCGATCCACACAATCTTTAGGCTTACCCATTTTCTTTCATAATCTTCTTAAACTTATTTTATTGATTGGGCTAACATTTTATACTGTTTATTTTATACCATATATTAAGCAATACTGAGAAGATTTTTTATTTTTTCTTTTTCAATTATTATACTTGTTTATTTCCTTTTACTCTATAAATAATTTTTTTTGTATAAATTTCCATTGAAAGAATAAACATCAAAACTTTTCTAGCCACTACATCTTTTCTACAATATTTAAAAGTTAAAGCTATGAAAAAATGAGAAAGTAACATCCATGGCTATTAAAAATAATGGAAGGTCAAAACTTGCTAAAAAATAGAATCAACTCGAATTCTAATTATGTTGACTTCGAGCTCCTCTCTTGAACTCAAAGAAAGATGTTCCACTGTGTCATTGTCTATGGGATGCAAGAAGTGTTCCCTAAAAAAAAGTTAGACAAGAGGAAGGTACTAAGCATGCGATATATCGAGTTTTCCATCCTTCATGAAAGTTTTATGAGACTTGCGCCTCAACTTGGTTGAGGCCCGCCTCGCCTCACTGGCATGAGGCTTACGCCTCACGCTATATATATTAAAACTTACATAAATCTTGAAGTAAATGCCCGACATTGAAATCTATAGGAGAGGAGGAAGGGGAGAGAGCAGTTCATCATAATGATGATTCAAATGAAGAACCCCTTAGTGATGACAGTGTTGATGACTTATGAGTTCTTATGTGATATATTTATTTTTGAAAATTGAAATTATATTTTAATGAAAAGAATACTCAGATTTGGGAAAGATGGAATTTCACTTCATATCTTATGCTTTTTTATGTTTTAATCATTCACTCATTAGTATATAAAAAATTTATCATTTTCTGTTTACGCAATCTATTGATTTTGAGGCTAACGCCTCAAAATGCCTTGAGGCTTACACCTCGCTTCACGAATGAAGAACGCCTCAATACCTGAATACGCAATTTTAAACATTGGTTATGCCTAAGAAATCTTTGAAGATTGGTTTTTCATCCAGAAAGTACCCAATCATTGTAAGGACAATGAAGACTTTCTACTCAATAATCATAATCAACATTACAATAAAATTCACTTTAAAGGTCTGTTTGAGACATCTTTTGATTTCTTTCTAGCTCTCCTATTATTCATTGTACTCCCCTAATAAGTTTGCATGATGTACTCTTTATTTACCTTTGTACATGTTTTTACTTAAGATGCTACTATTTGATCAGGAAAACTCAGTACCATGATAATCCTCCACCTGAATACAAAAAAGAAATGCAGTTTTACAAATAAAATCTTGAGGTATTCCCAAGAACAGCCAACGCTATATTAAAGCCTAGCTTGGCGATAAAAAATCTAATGCAGGGATGAATGGACTCTTTTCTTATGGCGAGTCTGCATCTCTGTCTCAACAAACTGCATGTCTGAATAGTTCTAAACCTGCATAACTTGCGAAAGTTCAGTCTCTAATACACAATTGGACACAAAATGCTAATGCAAAAAGGGACAAAATATGCAAGTAGAAGATTCTCAGGTCCTTGCACTGTTAATGAAAATATCTCCCGGAAAGATCTAGTGCTCCTGTGCAATCCGCTGGTTGGTGAAGGCCATTACAACCACACAAAAAAGGATCGGACGCCTTGAGATTATAACTCATCTTAAACCTTTCCACTTGTTCATGAGAGGAAACACCAACCCGAAGCACAGCCATTCAATGCAAAAGACTTCCATGGCAGGCTGGTCCAAAGAGTGCAAGTGCATAAGCAAAGAGTGCCAGTACGTGCATAAGCTTAAACTCATGCCCCAATCACTGGAGCACATTTAGGTGGTGTCAATAAGTCAAGTTGAGCTCGAGTCACACTTAACTTGAGCTTAACTCACCTATGTCATGTTAGGCTCGAACTCGAGCTTGAGCTCAGCTCGAGTTTGTATTTGAAGTCGACCTTGACTCATTGGATTAGCAGAAGGCTCGAGCTCAACTTCTAAGCTCAAGTTTTGTCCCCCAATTTTTTTATACCCTCGATGTTAAAAAGCGATGAAGTCGCGAGAGGAGCTCACTTGAGAAGGTATTGACGAAGAAGATGTCACATGAGAAGCTCACTAGGGAAATCATTGACAACGAGGTAGTAGCAACAAAAGCCCACTTAATAGGGCATCAACAAGATAGCGTTTAAAGAAGAAGAAAAGTTTAAGACTTGTGGCATTTGATGAAGAAGGGAGTTCATGATACTTATTGGAGAAGGCATCCAAAATTTCATGTAAAAAGGGAGGGAAACAAGATTTAAGATTATGTAGGATTTAACCCAACGATTCGAATAGCCAATGAGTCAAACCTCACCAAGCTTAAACTCAAGCTCATATAATATATGTCAAGTAATATGAGCTCAACTTTGTGGCTTGAAAAGCTCAACTTGTGAGGTCATTAATGAGTCAATGCTAAGCCATCATGTGAGATAGCTTGACTTGGATTCCTAAGTAGTGGTGTCAAAATGGATTTTCAGGTTGGATTTAGGTCCAAGCTGAAAATGACCCGTTACTATTTGACCATACTCAAACCCAACCCGATTCTGGAAACAAGTCAGAAATTCGAACTTGGACCTGACGCGCCCCAAACCCGGGTCGACCCGACCTGACACGGCTAACCCTTCATGAGCGAGGGTCGAGTGCAGAGCGGGGCGTGGCCCAATGGGGGCGAGGCGAGAAGTGCGGGTCGCAGTGCGCGCAGTGGGTGGAAGCAGTAAGGGTAGCAGTGTGAGCGCGAGCTGGGCACGGGCTAGCTAGGCAAGCACTGCGGGACATTAAGTGGGAAGTGTGGGCGTGAACAGTGGGCAGGTCATTTCCGGGTTAGCGAGTTGACCCAAACCGACCCGATTTTTTAAACGGGTTGGAAATCAGAACTTGAACCCGACCAGTTCGTTAAACGGGTCGACCTAAAATCGAATTTTCCAGGTCAAGTTTGGGTCGAGTTTTCAGGTTGTGTTATAAATTGACACCCCCACTCCTAAGCATGTTTATGAACCCCTTTGATACCAAATTTAAACGAGAAGTAAATTCAAGGCCAAAATTCCTCTTTAAGGTGCCAACAAAGTCAATTGTCTCAGATATAACTAGAGAGAGAGAGGGAGGGGTCAGGCTACCATATTTGGGTTGCCTGCAGGGAAGAGTGATGCCTATGATGCCAAGAGATGATATCCAAGAGATGATATTATTTCAACATTCAAGGGTTTTTATAACCCTATTTTGAAAAACTAAAATTGTTCCTGAGAACCAAAGTAAGAAATGCACCCCCCAAAACATGCTTTGCCATTACAACCACTATGAAATTGACAATAAACTTTTTCTACTATTTTTTTTTGTAACGATGAAAATTTATTACATGTAAATGAAAAGGATACATAGAGAAGCAATTACAAAGTATTGCCCATAGAAAAATCAAAGAAACAAAATAAATTGGATCAAGATAAAAAATAAGTTGAGAGCATAATATTTATCCAAATGAAGAACAGCAGTCTCTTATTTAGACTTTTGATAAGTCAAGTATGCTAAAATCATCAGGACAGTTATTATGTCTAGCTTGAAACCTAGTAAAATAGGGGGATGAAAGATGAAACAAAATTACTCAAAAAAATAGACCTTTATCTACTAAACTAGGTAAACTTATGATAGAATCTTAAGAATTGAACACTGCTTGAATCTTCAACAATCTGCACTTCAGAACTATTATGACTAACATTGTAAAACACAGTTGTAATGTCAAAGGGGTAATGAGAGTATAAGTAACTAAGGGACCCTCAACAAGCTGATAGATAACTTTCCTAGGAATGGCTCATGAAGTATATATATATATATGGAAGAGAGGGGGAATAGTGACATCAAACAACTAAGCATTAGTATAGAATGGCACGAATACAATAGAGGAAGCTCGAGTAGATTCCGAAGCATGAGAACATTCTAGAGTTGACAAGGCTAAGGGAACAACTTCCACGCAAGTTGATAATTTCTATTTAATATACATAATCCTTATGTGTGCATAACATGATGAAATAGACCTTTCTTGAATAGTAAGGTCCCCAAAAAATGATTTTTTTAATTCTGGAGAGCCTTGAAGTAGTTAACATATCCAATATCAAAGATTTTGCAAGATTAACAATATGAGGGCAAGCCATCAATTATCACTTTTTGTTAATAAACACATATTGAAGTGCCAATGCATACCTCCCTTGCCAAAGAAGCAGAACGTCTATTTCAAAAAGAAATTTAGCCATAGATGGTTGGGAGAGGATGGCGGTCAACATCCACTTGTAGTGGTTTGCCAAAAATTGATCCCAGTGAGTTTAGTGTACATTGATTG